TTCAAGTTACCCAATTGCTTTCATTGAAGCTAGACATACGACCCACAGTTCCCTCCATTGATTTACACAAATAAATAAACCTCAATAAACCTGGCTCTGATACCAATTGTTAGGGAAAAATATATGATTCCCCACAAGTAAATCAATCAATGGGAATAAAAACTAATGCGAAAAAATTAAATCAAAAGCAACACAAGAATTTTTACGTGGTTCCCTCAATATGAGGTACGTCCACGGGATCAAAATCTGATTCTACTATCAACCAAATAGTTTCCAAACGATTATAAACGAGACAAGAATGGTCTCACAAAACCACCCTTATGTGAATTCCAAATAATCACAAATAAACAAGAGGAAAGATCTCACCAAATAGATAAACCAAAATCTTCAGAACCAGAGTTGAAGAAGATCTAAAATAACAACGCAAATCTCACACCTTCAATGTAAACTCCAAACAGTGCTTTGAACCGAATAGTTGTACAGAAAAAAACAAAACATCGATAGAGGAGGAAGCAATTATTATGGCTGTCCCATAAACCAAAAAAACCCCACCGAGTTATGTATCAATTTTCACTCTGTTGGTGCACCTCTCCCACCAAATTGATTTTTCAATCAATGCACTTTGTAGCAGCCGCAACACATTATCTCACTGAGAAGATTTATTTGGCAGCCACTCTCTTCTCCTTCGGATGAACATAACAATATGTCTATATATTATTAAATCTTGGACTTGTTTTATCAAATCTTATTTGTTACCAAATTGAATTGGCTTTCCATAAATTAGATATAATATATTAAAAATATATTATACCCAAATCAAACCAAATTAAAATTCTTTTAACAAACTAATTAGGTCCCACACTCCAATAAGGAGGTATATCTAACAATTTACTCCTTGCAGGAAATTTCTTGTGCCAAATCGTATATATACTATTAAAAGTAGTATTTTTCTATACTTAAGTGGCATATTATAAGGGTTTACTTTTTTTTCAAAGAGCTACGCTAACATATATTTTCGTAATTATATATAGAGTTCTACATAAATCCGAATCTAATTTAAATTATATTGACTTTATCTGTTTTATATGGACTCTATTTGACATATATTTTTCATGATAAATTAAAATAATCCACAAATCCAATACTAATTTTCCATTTTACGTTTTTCTTCTTAATTCTTTCAAAGGTATTAGAATTTTTTTTAATGTTAAATTGCCTTTTTTTTTTTTTTCCTTCTTATTTTTTCATACATTATTCTATACCCAATACCAAATCTATATTATTTTATATTATGAATTTGTCGTTTAAATTTTATAGTCATTCTATATATGAAATTATATTTCATTTCTTACATTATTTTATATAATCACAACTTATAAGAGGAAAAACCTGCATAACAATTTTACTCTCAGATTGTATTAATAATGGATACAGGTTGTTTAGAAAAAAAAAATTAAAAAAAAACACGAAAAATTATTTGTCCACCAAATGTTTTGGTAGCTAAATAGGTAATCAAAAGTTTTGGCTACTAATAATTTAGTAGCAAAAACATAACCCAAAACGTTTTTGCCACCAAATAATTAGTAGCTAAAAGATTTGAGAATAAGAGAAAGAAACTATTGGCGACTAATACTTTAGTGGCCAAAACATACCTTTTGCCGACAAAACTAAGATTAGTAGCCAAATGTGTACTTTCGGCGACCAATTATTTAGTAGCTAAAAGTGATACCTTCCCCGACCACAACAAGTTAGTAGCCAAATGTGTACTTTCAGCGACTAATACTTTAGTGGCGGAAACATACCTTTTGCCGACTAAACTAAGATTAGTAGCCAAATGTGTACACTTTTAGCGACTAAACAAATTTTAGTCGCCAATACTATCGCCGACAGGGTAAAGGCGACGAGTTTAGCGACGAAAACTTTTGGTCGCTAAATCGTTTCGGCGACTAAATAAGTGACTTTTGGCTACCAATATTTTGGTAGCTAAAAGTGACATTTCTTGTAGATAGTGCCAATATTATCAAAATAAATAATTAAAATCACACTTTAATTTTAATTTTATTAAAATTATTTTTTTTATAACACACATTGTACCATCAAATATTAAAAAAAATAAAAATAAATTAACACCTACATTGCAAAGGTTAACTGCTAATTAATACCTATTACAGGAAATTTCTTTACTCCTCAAAATCTTTGTTTAGTGGTGTTGCTTCCAAATCCTACAATTTTGATCAAATTGCAATGTAATCATCCATTAATAATTATTTTTAAATCTCAAATTTTCTAATATGGTACCACTTTAACCCTCAACGTTTCTCTCGAAATTCAATTCAATCCTTTAAATTATTTTCACCAAAATTTTTAGTCGCACACTAAAGATTCAATTAATTAGGATAAAGGGTAAATCCATTACAAATTTTGGTTCATAAAATATCGAAACAATCAAGAGACTACAATCACTAAGACAACTTTATATTAGACTTCTCTCCAACAACAACAATATGAAATATATAAGATTATGCAATTATATATAGTGTTAATATGATATATCGATCACTAAGTCAAACTTTCTTTCAAAAAATGACCATTTGAAAGAAATTAATTAAAAAAATTATTTGAAAAAAAAATTAATTGAAAAAAAAAATAATTGAAAAAAAATAATTTGAAAAAAAAATTTAATTGAAAAAAAAAACTGAAAACTGAAAATGTAAACTCATTTTTTGAGTTTACATTTTTTCCTCAAATTTATAAACTGATATAACCGTTTATAAACCAAAAAAATTATTAAACAAGTTTTTATGACAGTTTTTTAAATTTTTGTAAATATAAACTGAGAACGAAAAACGGAAAACGGAATGGTTAACAAACAGACCCTAAATATTTGATCTTTGATTGCTTGCCTACTTTGGAATAAAATTGAAGTTTCTAACACACTACAAATATTTATAAATTACATCACATAAAATCATAACTTTCTATTTTTTGTAAGAATATGCAATAAAATTTCTTCATATACATATATATGTATACTAAGAAAGCTTGGAATCAATTTTCTGTTTATATAAGAAATTAAAGTACACACTTATTGCATTTCAATGTGTCCTTAATCATCTTATTTACTCCTCATCATGATGACCAACCAAAGGGTTGTGAAAAATAGTGTACCTATGTTGAGGCTTCAATGTCTAAACTTGTAATGTGTGGTCCATTTGGTACAAGAAAGAGAGGGGAGGAACTAAGAAACAAATAAAAAATCCCTACAATGCGAAGGGAGGAATGAGACCCTTGATAAAACTTTTGGTAAATCTTTTTGTATTCCTAATATTATTCAGGCAAAAAATGGAGAAGACAAAGGATACTTTCCTCTTCCTTAATTAATTATTACTTGTTTCAAGCAAAAACCACCTTTAATTTATCAATGAATGCTGATGGACAAAATGACAAAAACCGAACCTACTCCATCCCTAATATCTTTTTTTTTACTGTTAATTTTTTGTGCCAAATAAATCTTATTTTACTCCTCACAGGAAATTTCTTCTGCCAAATTGTATATATATTATTAAAAGTAGTGTTTTTTTATGCTTAAGTGGCACATTATAAAGGTTTACTCTTTTTCTTTTTTTTTTAAGAGAGCTACGCTAGCATATATTTTTTTTAATCATATATAGAGTTTTATACAAATCCAAATCTAATTTAAATTATACTAATTGTATCTGTTTTATATGGATTTTATTTGACAAATATTTTTTTTTTTCATATATCTTTCATGATAAATTGAAATAATCCACAAATCCAATATCAATTTTGCAGTTCATGTTTTTCTTCTTAATTCTTTCAAGGGTATTAGAAATTTTTTTTAATGCTAAATTGCCTTTTTTTCCCCTTCTTATTTTTTCATACATTATTCTATACCCAATACCAAATCTATATTATTTTATATTATGAATTTGTTGTTTAAATTTTATAGTCATTCTATATATGAAATTATATTTCATTTCTTATATTATTTTATATAATCACAATTCATAAGAGGAAAAACTTACATAACAATTTTACTCTCGAGAAACTTCTAAAGTTTGGATTTACTGCATGAGTTGCTTTTTGAATTTGTTGAAAAATAAGTTCTTTTATATTTTGACATCTATTACAGATGATTAATCACTTCACACACTGAGATTTGTCTATCGTTTGGATGTTTTCATTATTTTTTCTTTTTGAGTTTAGATGTTATTATGTGATTCTTTCTTAGTTAGTCGTTATTAAATTTCTTTTATATAGTTAGTATTTTAATTTAATTAAGAGTGTCTATTTTACAAATTTATAATTTAATATATATATAATCCTTATATAATAATCAAACTACAACATATTTATATTTAATTTTTTAAATAAGTTTTATATAATTTATATTTTTACATATTTTTATTTTCCAAATGAATATAAAAGAAAATTAAATAGTTAGAATTACTTTTAATTTTATGTTACTAATTCTTCTTCTAATTTAATTATTTTTTAATATCAAAATGAGTATTTATTTTACTATTTTATAATTTAATATATATCATACAAAATTATTATATGATAATTGCATTTTTATAATACAATAGAACTAAAATTATCAAAATACATAAATAATTTAACTAAAATTAATATATATATATATATATATATAAGTATTCAAGTAACAATTTTATAAATGATAGCACCAATTGTACCATCAAATATTAAAAAATAAATAAAAATAAATTAACACCTGCATTGCACGGGTTAACTGCTAATTAATACCTATTACAGGAAATTTCTTTACTCCTCAAAATCTTTGTTTAGTGGTGTTGCTTCCAAATCCTACAATTTTGATCAAATTGCAATGTAATCATCCATTAATAATTATTTTTAAATCTCAAATTTTCTAATATGGTACCACTTTAACCCTCAACGTTTCTCTCGAAATTCAATTCAATCCTTTAAATTATTTTCACCAAAATTTTTAGTCACACACTAAAGATTCAATTAATTAGGATAAAGGGTAAATCCATTACAAATTTTGGTTCATAAAATATCGAAACAATCAAGAGACTACAATCACTAAGACAACTTTATATTAGACTTCTCTCCAACAACAACAATATGAAATATATAAGATTATTCAATTATGTATAGTGTTAATATGATATATCGATCTTCCCTCTCCTACTTAATCCGATGGAAAGCCGCCACGAATCAAGAATAGACTCTGGTAGTAAGGAGGCGAAGAACCACTGAATCGAGTGTGTCATGTAAGGAGTGCATCGCGCTTCATAGCCTATTCTCCGAATTGCTGCCTGAGCATATTTTTCGGGTGTCGGTATGAAGAAAGATGATTTCTCTATTGATGCAAGCTTGGATGCCATTTTGGTAGAGACATACAATGGTACCTGCAATTTCAAGAATGTTATCCCAATTCCATATTAGCTGAATGAAGACCAAAAAAGAAAAAAATGTGATATGAATTAATCATATGTTGCAACAATTATTTTTTTCTTTATGTTGCTAGATAGAAATCATAATTTGATTTGAAGCAAGAATGTGATGAGAATTACATGTGCTACCACAACCATTTTGCTTTATGCCAACCAAAATCATAATTGATTGAAGCAAGTGAGCTTAAAGAAGATTGTTGTGAGAATTGTAAATGCATGGTTGGATTAAATACTAATTGTTTAGGGTTTATTGTTGTCTATGGAGTATTTATATTTGTCACCAATAGATGGGAAGTTGGATTCATGCCGGATTTATGTTATAATATGAACAAATTAAAAATATATGTGTTAATTCAACTCGATCCAATTTGATATCAAACCTAATCTAATTATTTCAAACTTGGCCATAAAACAACTTCTATATGTCAAGCCCATCCACAATATATATGAACTGTTATTTTATTTTATTTTTTTGTGTCAAACGGCTATTAAATGACTATGAACTTTTTAATAATTATTTGAATTTATATCATTTGTAAAATTAATAGTAAAATATACGAGTCTTTTAACAAATGTTTGAAGTTATTTAAGCCATAAAATTCATACTTTTCTCTTCTTTTATTATTTGTTAGTTTATTATGCAATTAAATAATATAAAAATTAACAATAATGCTACATATTTCCAAAAAACGTAACTCCCACAACCTTCACTCACCTGTGATTGGTCCAGGCAGGAAAGAGAAAAAAAAAACAAAAAACAAAACAAAAACAAAAACAAAAGCACATGATTGGTTGACATAATTTTGGGGGTCATGAGGTCCCTAACTTTAGGGGTCCCAAGCATTTTTAAAAATTTAATATTAATGTATATTTTCTAAACAGACATGCTATATTAGAATTCTCCATCCCAAATCCAATCCAAATTTAAATGAGTTTAAAATTTTAGTCTAATCAAGCCTTGCACACACCAAAAAAGAAAAAAAAAATACAAAATTCAGTGGCACCCTTAAAGTGAAAGTTACAAGTTATAATGGAATGCATACAAAATGCATTTTTTTAAGGTTACACACTTCAACAACTCTCTATTTTATTAATAAATCTAAGAATATAGAAACATAATAAAATTAGACACAAAATACCTATAAATGAATAAAAGTTTCTAAAAATGAGTCATATTAATAAATTTTCATGATAGGGATGTGATGCAAGAGAGAGCTCGATATCGGAGGAGGACATATCGTAGATTGCCAATTTGGGATCGAGTTTAGACAGTGTAGATCGCCCAGTTAGGGATCGAGTTCAGACAGTGTAGATGGCCAGAGAGGGGCGACGGAAAGCAACTAACAGTGCCAAAGCGAGAACGATGAAGAAGAGTGAAGCAGACAAAGACGAAGTCACAAACATCATTGTCTCGTTCGACTCTCAAGCTACACTCGCACCTCCAACGACTATGATCCACGATCTCTAATGATCTTGTCCCGTGATTCACCGATTGACGATCTACATGTTACATGTTTCAAATCTTTCCATTGTTATTCCTTCCCATTTTCCCCAAATTGTTTGCTGAAAATGGGTAAGAAATTAAGAAACAAGAGAGGTAGCTCATCCAGAATCTCACTTAAAGAATTCCAATCTAGCTTGGTGAAAAAAAAATTGGGCTATAATAGTTCAAATCAAGCCAATGATAAAAACCAAAATAATATAGACTATATGCAAAGGCAATTAGAACTTGAGTTTGAACATGATGATTTTCACATTGAAGAGACTTATTGTGATTCCCCTGATGCTTACAATGCCATGGTAGGTTCTACTGTTTACCATGGCTTTTCCTTAGAACAAGACCTGGGCAAAACAACCATACTTGAACAAATGGGGGATATTGAAACAGTAACTGTACAAGCACGAAATATTCTTCTTGTATAATCCTGTTGCTCAAGTTTGCGCTCCTCCGTATGTCGTCACTTTACTCCCTGAAAACACAAATGTAAGCTAGCCGGCGGGTGTGTGTCGGATACCCCTCCGATACCTAAGTCAGCCAAATAGACAAATAGACAAAAAAACTCTGTATATTCGAGAATCAAAGTTGTGTTACCTCTCCCATAGGTTATGTTGTGAGCTTTTATAGGTTCCGCGTGGCATAATTTTAGTAGGACTCTTATTCCTCCATGCAGAGTCCTCCTAGGAATCACTTTCCAGAAAGACAATGCTTACCCTTCAACACCCCTCTCACTGCTTAACCCAAGTGAGATGGTTTTACCTTGGTTGTATGACAACACGATCGGGCTAACATAGCCATGCTATACTAGCAGAAATGACTGAGCTCCATTTAGCTCGGTTCTCTCCTCTATTGCTTGTTCCTTGGTTTGGTTTACCGAAACCGAGCTAACCGTAGTCAGCTTTGACCAAGCTATCCGTAGCAGGCTACGACTGAGCTAATGAGAGCAAGGTCCACAAGCCCAAATACCTCGGTCTTAAATACTATGACCAAGCTAACTATATCCATTCCAACCGCGGTAACTGTAGGCACTCATGGACCGAGCTAACACTTGGTTCACTTGCCAAGTCCCTTTTACCCAGACCTTCTCACTGCAATCCATAGAACGTCCCATTACCCAGCTCGGCCCAATTTTCTTATAAATTACCCTTTCAATTGCCCCTTAATTCCATCTGTGCAGCATGATTGGGATTACCCGTCTCTAGCTGAGCTGAAAACTTTAGCCTCTCGACCGGGCTAAATTCACACCGTGCTACCAATCTGTCCGGTCAAAACGTCTCTTCAGTCGCTGTAACTGAATTGCTTCTTATTCCAAGGACACGTGGCACACTCTTATTAGCCCAGTGTAGCTGACACGCCGCCCTCGTACCTCGCGAATTTTGAACAGTTCCACCTTTTTTCCTTTCATTTTCACAAAACAAACCCTAAAGCCTCGAATCCGTCATTTCACTATTCACCTTCTCTCTCTCTTGCTTAAGCCTCCATTTTTGCAACCACTGTTTTTTGCAGAGCTCGTGTTTGTTGTTGTCACTGCTTCCATCTCCAGTTCCTTCATCTTCATACTTGTAAGTAACTTAATCCTTAATCCTCTTTCCCTTTTATTGATTTCGTATTTATTTTGTACAACATAGTATGCGTATTTGTATGTTTTGGCAAAAACACATATTCCTATTTTTGCTTTAGCCTTATGTTTCCTGGAAAAAACCTTGTAACATAACCACTGTATACATGAACAATCCGAACAATTTTCCCTTTGATCCAAAATTTCACTCCAACCGAACTAGGATACTGTTTGTATTTAGGCGTAAGCTTAGCCAAACCTAATCAACCGAACTAAAACCTGTGGTTACAATAGGTCTAAGTACCTTTTGCCACACTTTAGCCGAACTAGCGATCTGTCTTAGGTTTGCGTAATACTGCGCTAGAAAGACACAATCACTGACCGAGCTAAAACTTGGGCTAAACCAGCTTCCTTAGTCAAAATCGAACAAGGATGCTACCCAAAAGTTCCCACCGGGCTACGCACTTCACATTTGCTTTATCCTGGCTAAGGTCCTTTGTTTGAACTGAGCTAAAAAGGAATAGTAACCTATGCAGCCGAGCTAAGACAACATTTATCTTTCCTTTTATGCTTTTAGCACGGTCTATCGATCTGTGCTTAACACTTTTCCTTTTCACTTTGCAGACTTAGGTTGGCCAGGCACTCCCTTAAGCGCTTCAGCCGAGATACTCCATATCATCTCAGCACCGAGATAACACTTGAGGATAATTTATACATAATTTAAGCCCACATGGGAAAGTATAGGTTCTTAGTAAACTCACCAGGTGCTATGGCCGAGTTATGAAGGGACTACCATATCCCTGATGACGTACACCTTAGTTTAGCCGAACTAGGTACTACTCATTGGGGAAAACAGGGCTTCGTTCCCTTCACCCTTCTTTCTATTGTAGAAACCGGACTTAGATTCCCTGTACAGCCTCTTCTCTGTGAATTCCTTAGGCAAACTAACCTCTGCCCTACCCAGCTTTCCATAAATTCCTACCGTATAATAAATGGCATCGCCGAGCTAAACCGCCGGGCTGGCCTTAATCTCGGTTTAGCCGAGCTCTGCCACCAATATTCCATAGGATCGGCTGAAGATGGCTGGGTTTACTATTTAAGAATAAGGCGCCAGCGTGAAAAGATAATAAAGAATACCCCAGATAAGGATGTAAACGATGATGATTTTTTCTGGGTTTCTGGGAACTTCGAAGACCAAGAAGCCCAGATCCCGGGCGACCGGATAAACTGAAATAAAGGAGTCGCCGGTATAATTACCTCGGCTTAGTTTTCTGCTTTTTTTTACCTCGGTTTTCTTATCTTGGACCGTACTACTGTTGTCTCTTTTACTTCATATAGATTTGAATTTTCTCAAGTCCCAGTACAGCTACTTCAACTTGAATGCACTTCGCGCCGCTCTGCGATATCCCAACAGAAGCTGGGCCGAGCTACTGAATTTTGAATCGACATACAGATACAATAGCCGTAGGAAGACCAGGGTGACCGATTTCCTCCTTGAGCCTTCACCAGAGCCAGACCTAACCTTGCCTCAAGTCAATTTGATCCCGTTGACAGCGGAGCAAGAGATGGCCAAGAAAAGAGCAGTAAGGGCCCTCCTAACCAAAACAAACTAGGCCGAGGTACCACCAGCCAGCCAAACTCAAGAGACCGTGGTAGCCCTGCCAACCCATCAGCCTTCATCATTTCGAGCAAGCAAGCGTGCTCGGACTTCCCCAACTGAGCCACGCCTTGTCGACGAGGATAAAATTGTGGTTCCTCAAACCACTCCACCAAGCCCTCTACCTGAGCGCTCTGACTGAGCTAGCTCTTCAAAGTGGGCACCAAAGATCACGTTTCAGAACCGTGCTATCAAGGCTTTTGACTCCGTGGTCGTAGAAAAGGACCATTTCTTGGCGTTCA